GTATTACAGAGCTACTGCTGCCCCAGAGATTCCCTTTCACGTTGAACTTTGCGGTGGATTAGGAGGTTGAAATATTTATAAGCTTCTGAAACATGATGGCCCCTTTTTGTTTGAGCAGGCCACGGCCCTGCTGATGAGACTTAGAGTAGGCAAAACCGGTTCGGGGTTTGGTCACTTGAACGTAAGCTGCTGAGGAAAACATTTATCTGGATGGCTGACTGACCAAAAACAATTATTATTTCAGCTTAAACTTCACACGTTGAAGCATGATAATTGTTTTTTTACCCTTTTATCTGGCAACAAAAATGATACCTTTTTTTACAAGGAGTCATGTTTGCATAGACCACAATACCTGCACTCATAATGCAAACAAAAAACATAACTCTGATAATGTGCACTGTCCTTGAAGTTGATTGGTCCACACTCGAGACAGCTTTCCTTAGAGCCTAGTCTCACATGGTGTTGGACTAGATGACGCCAAAAGGCGCACAACTCAAAGACAATGCACCATCAGAGTATGAGAGCTCGGGGTAAGCATTTACACCATTGGCAAATGACGTTCCAATGGTGTAAATGCTTTAACTAATTGCCAAATTCGGACGAAGACGCCAGCACAACAAAATGGCGTGCTTTTGTGAATGACGTCAGCAGAACGTTGACGTCATAGGACTGTATCACGTGTTTTAATCCAGGCGCGAGTATTGACCAGGACGGCTGCTGGAAATCGAACCGCGAACCTGCGCAACGATACGCGCTGCCGCTAGGCCACACTCCCATCCTGTGTGTAGTCTTGTACATTTCGAGTAATGGGCCTTACACAGTTTAACACGACGGCTTTCGCGACCAATATCATCCATAATAGAGGTCTTTTGGGTTAGATCGCGATCTAACCCAAAATACCCCTATTATGGAGGCCTTACACAATTCAATTAGAGAGGGCAGACCGAGCGGATGATTATATATAAATGTATGGTGCACTGTCGTAGAATTCGTGACGTGGTGGATTGCGCACTGCGCGACGATGCAGGGCACGTGGGTTCAGTTCCCGGTCACGACTAACGTGAGTGAGGAGTGATGTCAGAACCGGCGTTGGGCCCAACCTTTCTCCGGCAAAGCCCCGCGTTGACCAAGGTGATGAGATGTGGTTTAAACAAGAGCGCATCATGACCGACACGGCGTGGGGAGGCCTTCATCCAGCAGTGGAATGACACATTTCTGTTCATCATCATCATCATCATCGTGTATTTGCAAATGCGACTACATCATCATCAGCCATGGTGAGGTTTTTTTGTCCTTCCCCCCCCCCCCACGCGCCTCCAATTATCACGGTGAGAAGGACGTTCAACATACGTGTACATACACTGCTGGATGAAGATCTCCCACCCAACCTCTCGCAATCCTGGCAATACATCATAATAGAGGTTTTTTGGGTTAGATCGCGTAAATATATAAATGTGTCGTTAAAACCGCGCCACCACCCGAACACAGCCAACTAGTAAGGATTGTCACGTAAACAGAACGTGGCCAATTCGGATGATATTGTTCGCGAAAGCCCCCGTGTTAAACTGGCAATGCAATACTCCACTGAGCACTTGCACAAAGACTGATTTCGCCACTCCATCTCGTGGGTGGCAAAGCAACCGCTCTGAATGAATGCACGTGCATGTTGACGATATTCACGCCGACGTCACTGGCGTGGCACATTGTTGTCGGTGCTGTTGAAACGGACAATAACACCGTCGTTCACGTTGACACGTCAAATCGATGTCGTGATGTTGATATGTTCTACGATTGTTGTTCACGTGAATGTTGTCATTTCATTGTTGCCCGCGTAATTGTATGGAAAGTCAGCCGGCAATGTTTCATTGGGATAAACGAACAGCGAGAAACCATTATCGCTTGCGAACCCCTTAAGTGATATCCCGTGCACATACGAGGGCAGCGCACGAATGGAAGTTGGTAGACCTTGCCGTGTTGTGGATATGTGTATAGTGCCAGACTGCTACTGATTATTAGCAGCAAGGGGGGGGTTAATTACTTGGCTCTTAGCCTCTTAGCCACGGGAAGTATCGCGGCTTCCACATTCGGTGGCTCGGTTAAGTGTCCGTTAATGCACTCATCATACTACGTGATAAAAAAAGTTTTGCTTGGCTGGCTGACTGGGTTCCTGGCCGGCTGGCTGGAGGGAGGGATGGACGGATGGTCACGTCCACGGGACGTTCGGGCTTTCAGTTATAAAATAAATATATTTGATCACTCACACCTAACCACCGCTAATGCGCTCATCATACGATATGAGAGAAAAAGTTTTGCTGGCTGGCTGGGTTCCTGGCTGGCTGGAGGGGCCGATGGATGGTCACATCCATAGGACGTTCGGACTTCCAGTTATAAAATACATATATTTGATCACCACCACTGCACTTTTACCACCGACGCTCCCCACCCCCTCCACCATGTCCAACATCACCACTACCACCACTGCCAGCACCGACATCATTTACTAACACCAATCAAAATATTTAAGTGACGAGAAAACTCATCATCGACATCATCATTACTACAGAATCACAACGTACGTATACACATGACGCACAGAGGGGGACGTGTACACATTGAAACTCGGCTTCTGTACATTGTGCGAAAAACCATCAACAGTTCACCACGAACTGCATTGTGGCCCTTGAGGAATCGTGACCGACGGATAATTGAATTTGTATAAATGTATGTTGAGGGTGACCTACGTACGACGGTAAAGCCTCAATGCAGTTCTGCAGGAACTGTTGATGTTTTTTGCATAATGCACTAAGGCTGAATATTTTTTAAACACGTGTCCGCGTGTTGTTTGTTAATTACTAGCACCACGACTATCACCACCACCACCACCGCTGTCACCACCGCTACCACCACGACTATCACCACCACCACTGCTGTCACAACCCCTACCACCACGAGTATCACCACCACCACCGCTGTCACAACTGCTACCACCACGACTATCACCACCACCACCGCTGTCACAACCCCTACCAGCACGACTATCACCACCACCACCGCTGTCACAACTGCTACCACCACGACTATCACCACCACCACCGCTGTCACAACCCCTACCACCACAACTATCACCACCACCACCACCGCTGTCACAACTGCTACCACCACGACTATCACCACCACCACCGCTGTCACAAACCCCTACCACCACGACTATCACCACCACCACCACCGCTGTCACAACTGCTACCACCACGACTATCACCACCACCACCACCACCACTGTCACAACCGCTACCAACACGACTATCACCACCACCACCGCTGTCACAACCGCTACCACCACGACTATCACCACCACCACCACCGCTGTCACCACCGCTACCACCACGACTATCACCACCACCACCGCCGCTGTCACCACCGCTACCACCACGACTATCACCACCATCACCACCGCTGTCACAACTGCTACCACCACGACTATCACCACCACCACCACCGCTGTCACAACCGCTACCAACACGACTATCACCACCACCACCACCGCTGTCACAACCGCTACCACCACGACTATCACCACCACCACCACCGCTGTCACAACCGCTACCACCACGACTATCACCACCACCACCACCGCTGTCACCACCGCTACCACCACGACTATCACCACCACCACCGCTGTCACCACCGCTACCACCACGACTATCACCACCACCACCGCTGTCACAACCGCTACCACCACCACTACCGCAACAATCATCAGCAGCTTCACTACCACAAGCACGACAATCACAAGCATCGCCACTACCACCACCAGCACCACCACCATCACAACCACAGCAAATACGCCACTACCACCATCGTCATCATCACAACACTACCACAACTATCACTTCTACCACAATTGTAGAAAACAACACCACCACCACCACCACCAAAACAACAATCACTTCAACGCAGCACTACCACCACCTCAACCACCACCGCCAACAGCACCACCACCTCACCACTATCTGACACCACCCCAAACCCACGTTTGACCCTCGTCTCCTCTCACCACAAAGACAAAGATCCCCCGTATAGTCTGAACAGGCTGTTGGGGCAAGTGCTGTTAGCGAATAGCACATTTGAAGACCGAAATGGCACACGAGGGGGTGGGTTGCCAGCACCACGCCTGGTCGCCTTTGTCTCCCCAATGTCGATTTTTACACTCCGCACAGGGTACTGATTTGAGGCTTAGTCGACCTAGGGGAGGCCCAGCACCGGTTCAGATCATCGTCTGTGATCGGGAATCGAACTTGGGTCGACCGAGTTCGTAGCACAGCACGCTAACCACTATACTACCGCTCGCCCGCACTCACCACCGCACCTACACCATCCCCCACTCACCACACCACCCACACCAGCTCCACTCACCACACCAACCCACACCACCCACACCAGCCCCACTCACCACACCAACCCACACCACTCACACCATCCCCCACTCACCACCCACCCACACCAGCCCCACTCACCACACCCACCCACACCATCCCCACTCACAACACCAACCCACACCACTTACACCACCCCCACTCACAACACCAACTCACACCACCCCCACTCACCACCGCACCCACACCAGCTCCACTCACCACACCAACCCACACCACTTACACCACCCCCACTCACAACACCAACCCACACCACCCCCCACTCACCACCCCACCCACACACCCCCCACTCACCACCCCAATCCACCCCACTCACACCATCCCCCACTCACCACCCCACCCACCACCCCACCCACACCACCCCCCACTCACCACCCCAATCCACCCCACTCACACCATCCCCCACTCCCCACACCAACCCACACCACCAACCCTCCACCCACCCCACTTCCACTCCAACTCATCCATCCACTCCCTGCCTAAGCATGCGCCCCGGGGAGGAGAGAGGGCCGGGAGGAGGGTGGCGACGATGGGGGGGGTGGGTGGGGGTGGTGGAGGGAGGCTTACCTGTGTCTGGGTGAGTCCCAGAGAGGCCGCAAGCTCGGCTCGCTCGGGCAGGGCGAGGTACTGAGTCCTTTCGAAGCGCCTCTGCAGGGCTGCGAGCTGGAAACTCGAGTAGATCGTTCGGGGCTTGCGCACTTTCTTGGGCTTGCCGTTCACGAGGCGCGCCTCCGGCTCGGAGTCGTCCTTATCTGACGGTCAAGACGCGCGCACGGTGGAGTCAATGTTCAGCCACATGGCCATTGAATTTAGATTTAAAGCTTTCGTGACTGCAGGGATTCATCTTCTTGGTTCTTTCGGTAAAGTCACGTAGAAGGGAAATAATAAAATAATACAAATTAAACATAATAAAATTTCGATTTAAAGCTTTCGTGACTGCAGGGATTCATCTTCTTGGTTCTTTCGGTAAAGTCACGTAGAAGGGAAGTGACAAAATAATAAAAATTAAAACATAACAAAATAATTCTCACGACGTTTCGGCCGCAACGCAAGCAGCCGTCTTCACCTGAGGACGGCTGCTTGCGTTGCGGCCGAAACGTCGTGAGAATTATTTTGTTATGTTTTATTTTTATTATTTTGTTACTTCCCTTCTACGTGACTTTACCGAAAGAACCAAGAAGACACATGGCCATTGTTGGTGCATTCATGTTGTAGGGGATGGGAAGAAGGTTTACGTCGGGGATGCGTTGCTGCAAGGCGCGGCGTTCGACGCATATCGAAACGACGTTAAATCAAAGCGATTTGCAGGGGTATGAGCGCTGTGCTGCGCGTGCAAATGCCCCGACACTCGACCCGAAACAAGATGAGTCAGTCAAGCAAGAGATACAGCGGTAGGCCGGTTGACTTCGGGGATGCGTTCCTGAAAGGGTGCGACGACGACGACGATGACTACCGAAACGACGCACAGCAAACCAGAGCAATTGTTTTGCCGAATCACCAAAACACGTGAATGTACGTACATTATACATTGTGCTCTACAGGACGTGCATTTCTCGATGCGCAACGCACAACCTGTAGTTCGTGCACAGCAGTGGTCCTGAACTTTGACTGCAGCTTTGCACACCTTTAGTTTTCAATCGTCAACAAATGTAATAATGTTAATACTCACACGGGTCTGATGGTCTGATGCAACTAAGTAAGTTGTGCTTCCGCGTCCGTGCTTAATTTGTGTTTTCGATCATTTACCTTCTGAAAGAAACATTTTTTTGCCCATGTCTCGCACCCCCCAGAAAGGGCACCTCGCACCCCCCCCCCGCGGTTAAAAGACCACCGATCTAGAGGGTGGTGGTAGTGGTGGTAGTGGTGATAGTGCTGGTGGTGGTAGTGGTGGTAGTAGTGGTGGTGGTGGTAGTGGTGGCAGTGGTAGTGGTGGTGGTAGTGGTGGTAGTGGTGATGGTAGTGGTGGTGGTAGTGGTGGTGGTAGTGGTGGTGGTGGTGACGAAGGCTGAGGCGACGGATACACGAGACGAGGACGGACAGACGGACGATGTTGTCAGCGACGTTAAGTGTTGGGGAGGGGGTCGGTTGAAGCGACGTTAATGGGGTCGTGGTGTTAATCATAAAGCAGTGACGCATTTGCAAAACGACGTAAAACGGGGGGGGGGGGGGGGGGAGGAAACCCTGTGGAGGATACACAATGGAATAGGCCACGTTTTGACCAATGACCCTACATTTGAAGGAGGGTCATTGCTCGAAACGTCGTCTATTTTACTTTGTATTGTCCTGCTATGAATAAGGTTAATTCCCCGAAACGTTACACACACACACACATGTAAAATATTTTAAGCGTACAATAAGTGACGTTCTGCGCACTGACGCTTCAATAATTAATGACAATTCCTCGAATCGTAGCACACACACCGTATATACACAGCACGGAACATATATAAACATGACACGTGACATTTCGGGAAATGAACCAGCTATGGAGAAGGGTCATTTCCTGAAACGTCGCCCATATGTGTAGAGAAACCTTTCCTAAACTCCGCTTGCTCCCGTGGCTGGCTGGCCTCTCTCTACCTTGTTTCCTACCTGAACTTTGTGACAACGTGTATGCGTGCCATGCGTACGCGTGCAATGTATACGCGTGCCATGCGTACGCGTGCAATGTATACGCGTGTCATGCGTACGCGTACAATGTATACGCGTGCCGTGTGTACACGCTCATTGTGTACACGCGCAATGTGTTCGCGTGCTATGAGAGAGGCTAAAGCAGGGCTGCCTAGTTGTGCTCAGGATAAATACGTGCGACACGAAGGTCGTTGTCGTAGGACAATAAAATGCGTCGTTTCGGGAAATGGGCCTGCTGTGAAGAAGGGCCATTGCCCGAAACGTCGGCTATTTAGGTCGTATTTCATCGTCTTTAGCGCAAGCGCTACTGACGCATGCGTCGAGTGTTTGTCTTGAGTGCTTGTGTTTTGTATGAACAAAGACAAAGAGCCCCCGGATAGCCTCTAACAGACTGTTGGGGGCAAGAGCTGTTAGCGAGCAGCACCTATGAAGGCCGGCACGGCGCACTGAGAGGGTGGATGGCCAGCAACCACGCCCGGCCGCCTTTGTCTCCCCAGTGGTCGATGTTAACACACCGCACCGGGTACTCATTTGAGGCTGAGTCGACCTAGGGGAGGCCCGGGACCGGTTCAGATAATATAATCGCCACTGGTGTTGGCCGTGAGCGAGATTCGAACTCGGGTCGCCGGGTTTGTGGCGCAGCGCGCTAACCGCCGCACCACCGCTCCCCACAGTACACACACATACACAGTACACACACACAGTACACACATACACAGTACACACATACACAGTACACACACACACATACGCAGTACACACATACACAGTACACACACACATACAAAGTACACACACACATACAAAGTACACGCATATACAGTACACACACACACATACACAGTAAACACACACATACACAGTACACACACATACACACACATACACAGTACACACACACATACACACACAGTACACACACACACAGTACACACACAGTACACACACACATACACAGTACACACACACACATACACATTACACACACATACACAGTACACACATACACAGTACATACATACACAGTACACACACAGTACACACACATACAGTACACACACAAGGTACATACGTACACAGTACACACACACATACAGTACACACACACATACACAGTGCACACACACAAACACAGTACACACACACACATACACAGTACACACACATACACAATACACACATATACGCAATACACACACACAGTACACACACACATACACAGTAAACACATACACAGTACACACACACATACACAGTACACACATACACAGTACACACACACATACACAGTACACACACACAGTACACACACACATACACAGTACACACACAATACACACACATACACAGTACACACACAGTACACACACATACACAGTACACACACAGTACACACACCTTTCACAGTACACACACAGTACACACACAGTAAACACACACATACACAGTACATACACAGTACACACACATACACAGTACACACACACAGTACACACACAGTACACACACAGTACACACACACAGTACACACACAGTACACACACACACAGTACACACATACACAGTACACACACATACACAGTACACACACACATACACAGTAAACACACACACAGTACACACACACACGCACAGTAAACACACACACAGTACACACACACACATACACAGTACACACACACATACACAGTAAACACACACAGTACACATACACACAGTACACACATACATAGTACACACATACACAGTAAACACACACAGTACACACACACATACACAGTACACACACACATACACAGTAAACACACACAGTACACACACACACAGTACACACACAGTACACATACACAGTACACACACATACACAGTACACACACATACACAGTACACAGACAGTACACACATACACAGTACACACACACATACACAGTACACACACAGTACATACACACACAGTACACACACACAGTACACACACACATACACAGTACACACACATACACAGTACACACACACAGTACACACATACACAGTACACACACACAGTATACACACACATACACAGTACATACACAGTACACAGTACATACACAGTACACACAGTACACACACACAGTACACACACATACACAGTACACACACAGTACACACACACATACACAATACACACAGTACACACACACAGTACACACACACAGTACACACACACAGTACACACACAGTACACACACACATACACACAATACACACACACACAGTACACACACACACACAGTACACACACACAGTACACACACAGTACACACACACACAGTACACACGCGGTATGGTGATGTAAAGTGGCAATGCAGACGTGGTGCTGTCAGCACGCCACCCTTGCACGTGCGCGGTCGCTACTCTCACGAAAGAAAAACCGGTAGAGAGTGCGACAATGGAGCATGGAGAGAAGACGCAAACTCTTTTGGAACATATATTCTTTGGTTCTTTCGCTCGTCATCAGGCGCCAGATGACGAGCGATTGTGTTGCGATCGAAACGTCGTGAGTTTTAGTTTTTTTCTACGTGACTTTACCGAAAGAACCAAAGGATATGAATTATTTTGGAATGACAACAACAACAAAACTAGAAACGCATTTGAAAGCGCACTCCGGTTAAAGGCATCAATCAAACTGGGCACGTGGGCAGGACGCGCCAAGGATATGCACTACGTTGAACCTCTTTCGCACCGTACGTAGCCAACCGTGTTATTGTATGCACGTACGTTGAACTTCTTTCGCACCGTACGTAGCCAACAAGAACAGTGGCGGAGTGGTAGCCAAGCAAATGGGACGACTTGGCGTGAAACGAATCAATCTCCGTGGAGCAAAAGTTACGAATCTTAGTTCATTGATGTTATTGTAGTTGTTGTTGTTGTGCGCGAAGCTTCTGCGATGTGCATTAACGAGTTCAGCTGCCCAGCATTAACGAGTTCAGCTGCGCGCAGCCCGTAAAACCACGTTACTAATCCGGTAGAGCCGAGTTCCATTCACCCGACCACCACCACTCTCCCCCTAGGTTGACTCAGCATTAAACGAGCACCTGGCAAAATGGTGCGTTGCAAACGGCACAGCCGAGTTCTTGAGACGATGGCACCCGGGCCGTGCGTGGTGCTGGCCACACCATAACGCCACCACCCCCGTCGTAGGCCACGACGGCCTGCCTTAATAGGTGCTCGCTAACAGCACTCGCGCCCACAGTCTGCACGGCTATGCAGAGGGATCTTGCTTTTGAGATGTGCCGCTTATGAACGCGTATAATGTACGTGCGTTGTGTGTGTGTTGTGTGTGTGCAATGCATTTAGCAGCAAGGACAACTGGGTACATTTGTATGCGCCGATGATCGTGATTCAGTATTCTCCAGATTATAAGGCGCACATTTGATCCGTAATTTAAAGCAACAGTTGGGGGTGCGTCTTCCTATCCGGATTTTTTAAAAACAAAAATGGATATAATCAGGCTAATACGGTGGAGCAGTTATGTTTTTTTAATCAGCGTTGGTGCGTCCAACGTGTTGTAAAATACGTAAAATTAATTACACTATACGTACATTGATTCGGGAATTGGCCTAAACGTGCCAATGTAGGACTCTCCTGCGAGTGAGTCTTGAGTCCCGGCAGTCCTTAGATAAACAATTCGGGGATGTGACTTCTTAAACCAAGCGTTTCGCTATGATTCTACGAAATTTTGCTAAATTCTAAAACGGAATATGTATATTACGCGTTAACGATATGTAACGTGGCGTCATATGTAAACGTACGTTTATTTTTATGGGTCTACGTACCTATATAATAATGCGGAATGTTGTATATGTGCAGTTAATTACGTTAACATAATTCCTTTAAGTACTTAAGCCAATGTGAAAGTGACATTAATTACATATTTGTGGTTTGGAAACGCAGTTAAGTGAAATAATGAAACGTCAAAATATTCGATAATGTAGTTGACTTCCCTGATCAAATAAATTAAATGTAATTGCAACAACATCGCTTATGATAAATTACATTATGCTCAGCCCTCCTTTTGAGGAGCGGTGGCGCAGTGGTTAGCGCACTTGAGTTCGATCCCAGGTCATGGCTGACATTGGTGACGGTGGTGAAGTATGGTCAAACAAACACCACCGCCCACACTTGCATGGGGAAGCCTTGATCCGGTAGCGGATTGATTAAATGCTCTAAATTGTTGTAATTATAGCAACTTCCAGAATAAGATTAATTAAATATGAAAGTATTTATATGCAACATGAACTTACGACACCATGTCAGATTGAACAGAAAATGACTAGGCAATCCAGTTGGACGACCCTCCTGAAATTTTATTCACGAGGTTATATAAACACGCTGTTATTATTATAAAAAATATATATTTATTTTAAAAAAGAACTGGATACATTAAAAGTAGCAGCAGTTGTCGAGTTGAAGATTCAAATGCATCTATGTAGCCGGGTTCTATCACGTGGCTTAATCACCACTCTTCCACGTGTCCTCCCCCCCTCTCTCTCCCAGCACCGTGGAACTAAACGTCAGACACCGTGTAGAACACCACGCGGTACAAGCCCGAAAACACTTCGGAGAACAGCTCGGAGTTAAATTATTGATACCCATCGCGTTTGTCAAATAACAAAGCACCCGCGTGGCGCAGTGTGCGTGCACGTGTGTCTGTTTACCCCTTAGGGAGCGGTTAGCGCTACGAACCCGGCGACCCGGGTTCGATTCCCGCTCACGGCCAACACCGGGGACGACTATCTGAACCGGTGCTGCGCCTCCCCTAGGTCGACTCGGCCTCAAATGAGTACCCGGTGCGATGTGTAAACATCGCCACTGGAGAAACAAAGGCGATCGGGCGTGGTGCTGGCCACCCACCCCCTCGTGTACTGTTCCGGCCTTCATAGGTGCTCGCTAACAGCACTTGCCCCTACAGTTTGTCCAGGCTATACGGGGGATTTTTGTCTTAACCTTTAGGGAGCGGTAGGTGTAGCGTTTAGCGCGCTGCGCTACGAACCCGGCGGCCCGAGTTCGATTCCCTCTCACGGCCAACACCGGTGACGATTATCTGAGCCGGTTATGGGCCTCCCCTAGGTCAACTCAGCCTCAAATGAGTATCTGGTGCGGGGAGGCAAAGGAGGTCGGGCGTGGTGCTGGCCACCCACCCCCTCGTGTGCCGTGCGGCGTTTATATGCGCTCGCTACCAGCACTTGCCCCAACAGTCTGTTACGGGCTATACGGGGGATCTTTGTCTTTGTTTACCCTGTGTAGCGGTTTAGCGCGCTGCACTACAAACCCGAATACCCGAGTTCGATTCTCGCTCACGGCCAACACCAGTGACGATGATCTGAATAGTTGATAATAGTCTCTAACGATTATAATTATCAACAACTGCTATTAAGAAGGGACATTGCCCGAAACGTCGGCACATATATACTTATTTTTAAGACAACAGAGTTGTATTGACAAATGTGTTCAATGGTTCATTGTTGCTGTTGAATATTCATTTGAAGTTGTGCGTAAAGGTTATAAAGACGTCGCATTGGCGAGAAGGGTTTAATAAATGGTTCCTATTAACATGAACAGATCTTTCTTATTTTGAACACCGGTGTGCTGATGCAGTAACTAATTTGCACGTTTTGTTTACGTGATAAACCTTACTAAAAAAAACTTACTCAAAGGCTGTGTCGGGTGGAGGTGGGGTAAGGAACTCGTGTAACCGGGTTCCTTTATTATATCATTGCTCGCAAAAGCCTACGTGTTACATTATTATTGTTATTTAAAAATCACTGAGACCCTCCTTCACATTTCTTTGGCCGATGTTCCATTCCGTGCGATTCTTGGCGTCAACCCGCGCCGAAGTCTCAATCGCCAACGACTTCTAAAAAATGTTTGGGGCGAATGCCCAGAGCGATGGGAGCGTGTTTTCGATTTGGCGTCCTCTGTCGTCATTCGCATGTGCGAGACAGGGAGAGGGGGAGAACAGCTGGCCACACACATGATGTGTGTAACTACACTATTTCCAAAAACTCTTGTCGGTTAAAAAAAAAAGCAACAAAAATTTCAATGGAGGGAGGACGATGGCATTTCGGTAGTTTGGTAGAACGATTTGCTGCACGCTCTTGCATTTACCGTAGCTCGCTCACCCTCGTGTTGAACTTCTTTCGCGCCGTACGTAGCCTAATCGGAGGTGCGTGTGTGGGGGGGGGGGGACAAGCTAAACGCAAAAAAGCAGTTCTAAAGAAATGAGTTTTCAATTTAGTTGACTTAAAAGTTCACAGCTTCCAGTGGCTTCCTTATATGGGCAGGAAGAGCGTTCCAGACGGCCGCAGAAGCGCATCTGAAAGCGCGCGATGCGGTGACCGCCGCCGTCTTTGTTCGATGGATTAGCGGCCAAAAGCCGCCGCTGTTGTTGCTGCGAGCATAGAGATGAGCCCCACACAGAGGCAGGTCGGGACCGGCTACCCTCACACACCCTCGGTGGGTCGGTGTCTCTCAAGGGGAGCCTGCCTGGTGGATTACAGTTAATGATGATAGTCATAATAATAACAATACTAATGAATGGCTGAGAGCGATGATGGTAATGGTGCGTTGTTGTTGATGATGATGAAGTTAATTGACTCTCTGCACCTCCGATGAACACGGTTGGCTACGTACGGTGCGAAAGAGGTTCAGCTTCCAGTCCATACAACTCATGGTGGTGAGTGTATGCTAAGCAGCCAGTTACAACCATTCTGCAATATTTAATAATACTCATAAAAAGTTTAGATATTTATGGCTATACTGTATACCATGGTGCAGGAGGAGGATGATGATGTTGGTGGTGAAAGTAAGTTAACTATGATGAGTGTATTAATACCAACCAGCCAGTTACAAACACTATAACTTTCAGCAAACGAATAACAAAAATCCATGTATAGTTATATTCCAATTTACGAGGCGCTGCTGCTGCTGCTGATGACGACGAATGTAACGTGATGATAAATGAATGAATGCTCCCCAAGCCAAACACATTGTCCGATTTTGAATACAAAAGTAAATCCATCTGTGATTACAATGGATATCAATGTACGCGCAGCTGATGATGACAATTACGAAGAACGATGTTGATGATCAAAAAATTGTTGGTGATGTTGATGATAGTGCTCCTGATCATGTTGTTCATTATACTACTGCTGATGATGATCACGACGTTGATGTCGCTGATGATGCCGACGCTGATACTTCTGGCAGTGATCAAATTGCCGCTTCCGCTGATTATGTTGATGATGATCACCACGTTGTTGACATTATTGCCGATTATGTTGATTCTGCTGCAGCTGACTATAATGATGTCTTATTTGTTTCCCCCCAAAAGTATATATATTTTTATCAACAAAACAATACAGGTTACACAACACAGAGGATATGAATGGGGGGTTGTTGACACTACCACAAGCGCATTTACGGATCACCGTGCAATGGAAACCGACGATAAATGATGTCGACGATGATGATGATAATTACCTCTGTCAAAAGCTTTGCCGTCTTGCGCATCTCCGGCAGTCGAGTTATACCCGGGGTAGTCGTTGTGCTCCTTGGCGTCATAGGGTGCATCCAGTGCTTCGGCAGCCGCGTAATACGCACTCAGCTGCTGCTGCTGTTGTTGCTGTTGTTGTTGGTGCTGCTGCTGCTGCTGATGATGGTGCGCGTGCTGCTGCTGCTGCTGCTGCTGGTGGTGTTGGTGGTGGTGGTGGCTATGGTTCAAGTAGCTCCCTTCGCTGTAGATTGCCGGCTGGCCCTGCGGAGGTGGCGGTCCGTAGAAGGCGGCTGGGGATGGCTGGTAAGCGGCGTACGGCGCTGATGCGTAAAATCCAGCGCCCGTAGTCGCTGCGCTCTCGGGCTGTAGCTGCTGTTGCTGCTGCTGCCGCTGCTGCTGCAGGTGCTGCTGCTGCTCCTGCTGGTGCAGCGGGTGCATGCCATGGAAAGAAGAGGAAGAGGCGGCGGCGTGGAAGTTCCGCAACTGCTGCTGGTCGAAGCCGCCCGTCATAGTCCCGCCGAGCTCGGAGTAGAGGCAGCGCGCTCGCGTGCGTGTGCGACCAGCGTGTGACGGCGCAAGTTGCCGACAGCGTTGTTTGATCAACAGAGTGACGCACGCGTGTTAGGCTGGTGGGGGCGTTGGGTGGTGATGGTGGTGGGGGGGGGGGTGTTAGGGGTGGGGGTCGGGCTTGTGTGTTGAGGAGGTGATGGGGGGGGGGGAAGTGTGAATTAAGAAATTAAGAAGAGATCACACTTCGCTTACAACAACAACAATTAAATCAATAACAACTCTAAGACTCCGGCGTTTCGCTCGCTGCGCTGCGCCTGTGCTCGTTTGGCCGCTTCGTTCCACGGTGCCAGGAGTCCAGGGTGGCCAGCAGCAGCAGCAGTCACCGACTGATTGACTGGGGGGTCATGTCCCTCCACGGGGGGTGGGGGGGGGGTCTCGCTTTGTACGCGGGCTATATAGCAGCCCCAGCGCTGTGCGCAGGGCGAGGCGAGGCCGGGTGAGACGACGTCACGCAGCGATGAGACTTATCTCCGCCGATCTCGGGCTTCTCCCGTGGAAACACAATACCTCAAGCCCACATAGTTACCCCCAATAAGTGGCCCTTATTTTTTTTTTAAAAAGGTGAATAGGTAAAGGCGCAGCCCTGCAATGTATTGCTCGCGACACTGCCGGCGGAGAGGGCCTCCGCTGCTGTAGACGGAGCCTCGGAGAGCCGTCGGTCAAAGGGTATTTGACGCGCTCTTTCACGCTGGATAAACCGTATTGGAAGAAGTTGGCGTTACCCACATTTTACCCCACCACACACGTGACGAGCCGATCGCCCTGAACGCGACGTGCGGATGTATGCTGCTGGTCGGGCAGACGCGGTGGGACGGGCATGCGGGGATATCCGAGGCCTGCCCATTGTCTCGACTGCCGCGACGGGAGATCAGACGAGCGACCTCTCTGTATCGCAAGTCCAATGCGCTAAAAGCTACACCTTGTCGGCGCAGCATTCTCGATTCTCGAATTCTCGATTGAATACGCAAGACCTCACAGAGTGCCCGATGCCCATGTCTATTGTGCCGCGCTGGCGAGATGTTAACTACCTCGCCTGGTGTACAGGAGGTCGTGGGTTCGATCACGACCCTGACGCCTGCTGCTGTGTATTTGGAGTTTGCGTGTCTCTCGCTCCCGGTGATGGCGTGGATTTTGCTCCGGGTCCTCCGGTTTTTCACTTCACATTTAGAAACACGCGTTCAGAGTATCTGGCTGCTCTACATTTCCACGTGATAAGCCACTTCGTTGAGCTGTCATTTGAGGCCAGGTCGCTTCTGAAAGAAAAAAGACCCATATAACTCAGTGGGCCTTACCTGCTAAAATACAAATAGTTTAGTTTAACGAACCAAAACAGTCTAGTCTATTGCCTCTACCGTGCACGGCGTCTTCCAAGTTCTGCCAACTGCCCAGTTGTTTGCGAAGTTCGAGCATTGCGTCGCTAACGACGATCCGTGGCGTTTGTTGTTCGTTCGTGTGTCAGGGACGGTGCCGGCAGTGGAGTACAAAGTTCTCGTCGAGGATTGGCTGAGTTGAGCCAAGTGGTCGCGATCAGGGGTACCCCCCGGTGACTTATCCTCAAGACTCTGCCAGTGAATGATAGAAAAGGGGGCAGTGGCGTTACCGTGTGGTCCATGTGGTTTCAGATAGAAAAACACTCATATTGAGATTCATAGACGCAGTTACTTGTGGACCATATGGTTTCAGATATATATATATCGACTCATATTGAGATTCATAGACATAGTTATCTTGTGGTCCATATGGTTTCAGATGTAAACACCGACTCATATTGAGATTCATAGACATAGTTACCTTGTGGTCCATGTGGTTTCAGAGATATATATATAGACTCATATTGAGATTCATAGACATAATAGAGACCTCGTAGACTTACAAATTCTGTTCTTGAGTGTGGCAATTTGTTCAAGAGCTCGATGCCAATGTCACGGTCTGCTGGGCACGAGAGGCCTTCTGGAGAGCGTTGGTGTACCTTTGCTATTCCTACGTCGAAGGTGCACAGACTGCAATGGTTTATTGGTCCACAGACGTTATACATAGAGACCCATAGACCTGAATAGACCAGGCTTCACGACTAGCTTGATGAATGTCTGCTGTGTGAATGGTAGAATTGGGCTTTGCTGTGTGGTTTACGCTGTGATGTGTGTACTCGCATTGAACCCCGTAGACTCACATAGACGCCCAAAGACTCACATAGAGACTCATGGACTCACGTACAGTCGTCTATATTACGTGGTCCCCGATTTGAGATCGATGCCCGCAGTTGCATTGTGGGATGTTCTTAATTCGCGGGTCACGTGTGTATGGGCATATGTTCTCAAGACTTGTTTTAAGGAGGCTCGTGCTGCGCTTGGGGATGTTTGGCCAATTCCATTAATAGTGTCGGAGAAAGCCAAAAGAGCCTGATGGAAAAAAACCAACAACAACAACAACAACCGACAACTCCGTAAAGATGGCTTCAAGAATCAATTGCTGCGCTGCAGCAAACGCCTCACCGAGTCTCAAGACTATGTTTAAGGAGGCTCCTGCTACACTTGGGTGATGTTATGGTAACGTTTAAGAACCCGTGACTGGATTCGAGGGGTGACGCTCAGCGCTGCTATCTCCTTGTCCACCTCGCAGCCGACATTCAGTGCCCGGTACAGCTTTGCGTGCAGTCTCACGCCCGGTGGGGAATAGAAAGGCAAAGGCGTAGCCCTGCAATTGCTTGCTCACTCCATCGTCGGCGGAAGAGCCTTCTGCGCGCTGGTCGAGGGTGTTTTAGAGAGCGCATCTCGAGGGCATTTGGCCTACTCTTCCACGCTGACCAAACACCTCGGAGAAGGTGTGAGTTACACAAGACAAAGGATCCCCCCGTGTAGCCCTGCGAGACTGTTGGGGCAAGTGCTGTTGCGCAAGTGGCATTTATGAAGGCCGGCAAGGCACACGAGGAGGTGGATTTGCCAGCACCACGCTCGGTCCGCCTTTGTCTCCCGAGTGGCGATGTTTGCGCGCCGCACCATGGGGAGACTCCGGACCGGTTCAAATATTCGTCACCGGTGTTGTGACGTGAGCGGGGAATCGAACTCGGGTCGCTGGGTTCGTAGCGCAGCGCGATAACCGCTGCACCACCGCTCCCGCTCACCTTTGCCACACGCAACCTGCCCGTCACGGAGAGACGGGGGATTCCTAAGGTAATAAAACCCGGCCGTTGTTTCAGCTGCGGCGCCGGCAGAGAATTGAATCAAACCGTCAATCTCTCTCTCTCTGCCTCTACACTTGCGCCAGCCATCACCTCCCCGCAGGGGCAGCAGCAGCAGGATCATTGCGTAGCAATACTACATTTTAAACAAATGAAATGTGTTGTTTTTTTTACATCCACGATGTTGTTGATGACGGGGGGTGGTGGGGGGGGGGCAGTGTGTATAAGCCGTACGTAACTCCAGAAGGAGGAGAGTGGAGGGGGGGACACCATGCTGACCGACTCGAAGGGATATCGTTCCGTGGGGGGTTTTTTTCTTGTATTTTTGGCGGTCATTTATCAGGCGGTAACGTTGGATCTGTAGGAGGTAATTGAAACCAGGTGAGCGCTGCAGTCAACGTGCTCTGCTGAGTGAAGTGAGGGCTGCGCGAGGTATGCGGTGTGACCTTATTTGGCCACGCTTCTCGTTGCGTGGAGACTCACGCAGACCGATTGGGTAGGTGGCTCTATACATTTGCGTCGTTAACTTACCACAGTAAACAACTCGGATGAGCGGACGTGTACATCTTCCCCACCACGTGATTGCAAAACAAAAGTGTTTTGTTTTTAAACATCGCTTCCACCACAAGGCCTTCCGCAAGTGCGTAATGTCAGCAACATTGGTGCAATATAATGTGGGTGTGTCTTGAACTTCTTTCGCACAGTACGTTGCCAATCGAGCTAATCGGAGGTGCGGGGGAAGGACACCAGACTAAGCACAAAAAGCAGTTCCAAAGAAATGAGTTTTCAATCTCGACGCTTTAAACGTGCATAGCTCTCACGGGCTTCTTAATATCGGAAGGAAGAGCGTTCCAGACGGCCGCGGAAGTAGCGCATCTGAAAGCGCACGATGCAGTGGCCACCGTCTGTGTTCGATGGCCAGCAGCCAAAAGCCGTTGCTGCGAGGATGACCGGATTTCGCGTGATGATGGTTTAAGTTTCTCGACGAGATCAGCAAATTATCGTGGTAATACAATAAATAACTCCGGACCGGTTTTGACATACAAGGCCTCATCATCAGGAACAGGCTTAATTGCCTGTTTCTGATGCTGATGAACTGCTGATAAACAGCCAGATGTTTAGAGGTAAGGGTCCTCTCTCTTAAAGATATGCCTTAGTTCGACGCGAAATGAAATTACACATAACACCAAACAGAAATTCGCGTCGTTGTCGAGAATATAAGTAGCAAAACAAATACGCAAACAAATCTATCTCCATCTCGATCATCATCTTGTACTGTTACCGCATTATCATCAGCCGGGTCTATCCACTGGCGGATGATTGACTACCCACGCCGTCGCCATCCCTGGCAATGCAGCGCCGTGTCCCTACCATTCATCGCTCTCCTGCTGCGCATCAGCTCATCCCGTCACGGCAAGTGGCTGTGTTCGCGGTGGACGCGATCCCTGCTCCGTCAGCTGCCATTCCGTCCCCAGTCTCGTCCGTCGGCAATCATCACGCCTATGAGAAGTGGTAATGCCCTCTCTGGCAATAACACAGTTGTGTTAAGATGTTAAAACACCAAACTGAAACCTTTTGCAAAGGAATCACGTCTGCATGAATCACATATACTTGAGTTGAACGTGCAAACAAAAAAAATACACGTGCTTTGGTAGTATGTGATGCATTGCCTTTGAAACTGATTGGTCCACACCAGAGACAGCTTTCTTTAGAGCCTTGTCTCAAACAGTGTTAGACAAGAGGACGGCGCCCAAAGGCGAACAGCACAAAGACAATGCCACTCTCAGGACATTGAAAGCCCGGGGTGAGCAGCTCCACCATCAAGCCTGCATGTGCTTTGTTAACACGACGCCTGTTTTCTACACACGATCGTCATACAGCAGCCGGCACTCAT